AAAAAAAAAAAAAAGACAGAGCCCTATGACTCATCAAGAATTATCTTCATTTTTGGATTCTTCATTTACTGGAGGCATGTAAATGTAAATGTAAAATGGGGTGATCAATTCAGGTGATTTATTCCTCTCACATGTTGTACGCTGTACGCTTCACTTTAAAGCTGACAAAAGAGATTTTTAAGGTGGGTAATTTCCTGGCTGACACATACATGCTAATATTCATTTTGAGAGGGAAGTATTCCTTTAAGAAATCTGATTCGTCACTTTGAAACTGAAAGAAAGTCTGGTACTGATTAAAAAACATTCCAGTTACAAGTAGTTGCAGGTTGAGTTTATAACCAGTGTGACAGGCACAGTAAACAACAACACTTCATTGCTCTCTCAGAGAGAAACTGGCCAGAAAGGCTTTGCCCACATCTCACACACCCACACACTTCACATGATGCAGCACGTGACATAGCTGCAGGGACTAAGGTTACTTGGAATGAGTTAACTAAGTTTACTCCGGCTGCCAAAACCCATCAAAGCATTCCTCAACATGGAAGTAACAAAAAAGGCTGTGGTTTAAAAAGCAGAAGTGTGTGTTTGCAAGCATATTTTGGATCAGTAATTTTATCTAAGAATGAGGCTGAGCTAGAAAATGACACAAATGTGACGGGGAGAGGAGGTGAGGGAAACGGAGGGGGCTTTTCCCTGGAGTCCCATAGTTATTCAAGCACCCGTCAGACACAACTGCATCTTTCAAAGGAAGTAATTTATCAGTGAACATGAGGTGGCACACACAGACTGCTGGCAGCCTTTTGTTTGTGTCAGCGTCATGCTCGCACACAGTTACCTGCTGATGAGTCTTGTATTATAGCATCAAGAGTTTGCACTTGATCAGATAACACAAGCCTCAGAACACAGACAAACAGCTGTGGACAGTGAGTCAGTGGATTTACTCAAGTACTGTGCATTGTTTTGGGTAATTGTACCCACAATTCAAAGTAAATAGTAAGTGCCCTTTTACTCCATTGAATTTGTTTCACAGCTACTGCTTACTTCTCAAAATCAAAACCTATTTGACTGGACCATGTGGGAATTTGATTTGAAAGGACAGACACAGGAAGAGGCCACGCTCAGCAGTCAGACAGGCGTCACGTTACTTTACAGGGCTGGTACCTGCAGTTATTCCACAGGCTAGTTAATAACATGTCGGGCAGGAAATCCAAAGTGTGGGATCATTCTGAGAAGGTGAAGGACAAACCCAAGGTGATATGTAAACTCATCTTCATTGGTCAACTACAAACATGACGTATCATCTGAAACATGGAAGTAGCTACATGCCCATTAGCCACTTAGTACAATCATTACTAACCCTAACCCTAACCCATTAATTTCAGAAACATGCGGGCCACTAGTTGACTAATGACCCTACAGTAAATGACGACTATTGGTGGACTAGGAAATCACTGGTGAACTGGTCTGGCAAGGGCTTGAACATAATGCACTTTCATTTACATGCAAAGGTCCCACACTTCTGCTTTAAGTTCATTTTGTTGTCAATATCTTTTTGTTAGGTAAAATGTTACATGCAGGACTTTTCATCGTGTGGTATCACTATTTCTACTTTAGTAAAGGATTTAAATACTCCTTCCATCACTTCAGACTTAACAGTCACATATTTTGTTGGTCCTTACATGTACAAATTTATCTCTTTACTGATTACTACACTTAACTTTGTTTTTTAAAGATTATTTTTTGGGCTTTTTGCCTTTAATTAACAGGACAGTATGGAATGGGGAGAGACAGAGAGTGGGGGGATGACATGCAGCAAAGGGTTGCAAGCCGGAATCGAACCTGCGACTGCTGCAGTGAGGCATCGCCTCTGTATATGGGGCGCCGGCACTATCCACCACGCTACCGACACCCCAACACTTAACTCTGTTGAAGGCAGAGGCAGCCAAAACAATCTCAATTTATCAAATTTTTACCACAAAGAAATACAGAAGTACAAAGCACAGCCTAGAGACACAAACACAGTAGCACCAACACTCTGACACCATCACCAAAGTTGAGGAGAAACACTCCCAAACATTATCTTTCACATCCCTTTAAGAGCCCAGCCTCACAGCTCTGAGCTGCAACATCAGTCAACGTCATGTGATACCATATCGCACCAGCTGTCCAACTAATCTTTTCACTGGTAGGGAAGATAAATGTCCATAGACGTTGTGCATGAATGACAAAGACAGCAGGATAATAATGAAAAAATGGTTGTCACAAAATCCAAACTCTATCATGTATGCAATATAAAAATAACTTCAGTAATTTAATATAATGGTCAAATTGAGAATCAAAGTCTTTAAAACTTTGCCAATTATCTACAAACCGCCATACTTAACACTGAATTTAAGATAAAAAATGTTAATAAGAATAACTGCTGAGTGAGTGATAACAAAAACCATTACTTCGTGTAAGTATTTCACAATTGCCACAGTGTAACCAGTGTGATTACACCATTTAGGAGGGGCCTGGAGGATTTCCTGTCATGAGCAGTGAGGAAGCCATTCAGTCTTAACTATAAAAGTCCAGTGGCTCCTTTTTTATTTTGACTCAGCTGTGAGGGCATCTTACAGCTCTTATCATATCTGATTTGCTGCTCACAAGTCACGTTCATGCGTAAAATAAGGTTTGAAGCTATTACTGGTCAAGTTTGAACCATTACTCAAGAAGCTTTAAAAGGAGATATGTAACCTCATTATGCAACATATTTCAGCCGGCATTAATATGAGCCCTAACTTTGGTAATTTCATGCTGCTGAAGTGAAGTGTCATGGATGGATCACTGAAAGGGCCTACCAGGCACAGGCCCAGGGGCCCAATTTAGGCATCCCCTGGCCTTCACCTGCAAAAATGTCACTCAAACTGACACAAATTCACCAGGAAGAGACTCTGTATGACCCCACAGAGACACTAAAAGACCAAAGAGGGATGAAAAGTAACTTCAGAGACACAAACTGACTAAAAGAGACACAAAACAACCACAAAGAGACACAAAATGACCCCAGAGACACAAATGAACACAAAGAGAAAAAAAACAACCCCACAGACACAAAATGACCTCAAAGAAATGTAAAAAGAAAGCAAAGCGACACAAAACAACAACAAGGATACACAAAATGACTGCTAAGAGACACAAAACAACCGCAAAGGGACACAAAATGACTACAAAGAGATACAAAACAACCACTAAGAGACACACAATGACCTCAAAGAGACACAAAATGACTACAAAGAGACACAAAATGACTACAAAGCGACACAAAACAACCACAAAGAGACACAAAATGACTACAAAGAGATACAAAACAACCCCGTAAGAGACACACGATGACCTCAGAGAGACACAAAATGACTACAAAGAGACACAAAATGACCTGAGAGACACAAAATGACTACAAAGAGACACAAAAACAACAAAGACACAAACCCACCAGAAAGACACATAAATACTTCAAAGAGGCACAAAGTGACCTTAGACTCAAAAGCGACTACAAAGAAACACAAAACCACAAAGAGACACAAACAACCACAAAGAGACACAAAACAACAAAGAGGCACAAAATGACTACAAAGAGGCACAAAATGACCTCAGAGAGACACAAAACGACTTCAAAGAGACACAAAACAATAGCGAAGAGACGCAAAACAACCACAAAGACAAAGACAAAATGACTAAACATACAAATTACTTCAGAGACGCACAAAAAACCACAAAGAGATACAAAACAATAACAGAGGCAAAACCATCATAAAGTCTGTGCTTCTTGCTTGTGATAAGGCCTTTTGCATATCCCGCTCAGGGCTCACTGTCTCATTATTTGCCTATGTGTAGAGTAACCACAAATAAAAACGAAACATCAAAGCGAAGATTTTTTTTTTTAAAAAGCCCATTCAACAGATACAAATAGTATTGTACTTAGAAGCGCATTGATCTGTTTGACGCCTATGTGCGCCTAATAGCTTCCTCGTCTAATGCATTAATCTCTCACCTTGGCTGAGGTTTCAAACCAGCCCAGAAAGCCAGTCTCTTTGCAGAAATTGTCCATTAGGGCTGTGCTGTTGGAGCTGTCTTTCTTCTGGTCGCATTTATTGGCCAGAAGCACTGAGGGGATGGGGTTGCCATTAGCCAGCTTCACCTTGCTGTCCAGGTCGTGCTTCCACTTAGACACCGCCTCAAACGTAGAGCCCCTCGTCACATCGAACACCACAAATGCCCCCACGGCCTCTTTGTAGTACACTCGTGTCATGTTCCCGAATCGTTCCTGACCTGGGGTAGAGGAAGAGAACTTAGCGGGATATTTGCCATTTTACAAAGCAGCTAAGAGCTAGATGAGTAATAGGTTTCTGGGTTTGGATCCTTCAGAAGCAGATGTGATTAAACGTCCGAACCAAAGTGACAAAACACTATTTCAAGGATGTCTGTTCCTGATCTTGGCAAGATATAAGTACCTCACTCTCATTCCTTTCCAACTCCATTGAGAACTCAATGATTTTCCTTCTCAAAACGTAGCCAAAAAATGATGAGGGTAGAGATGGTTCTTATTCGACCTACTTTTCCTAATTTGCCATGGGCCTAATCCGCACAGAGAATGGCAGAAGTAATCTGCCATAATAATAAGCTCTTTCTCTGTAGTCATTCTCTGAGAAAATCTGAGATGATACTTCACAAAGGCAAAGCAAGGGGAATTACTAGCAGGATATTTAGTGTCACTATCAATCTGACGAGGACTCTACTTAAACACAACTAGACCACTTTAAGGGTTTGTTTTATACTTCTGTTAAATTGACTGACTGTATTAACACCAACTCTTTAAAGATTAAGTCAGGTATTGTTCAGTTTTTTGTGTATTTGAAGTGTATATTAGTTTTTAGATGCCTTCACATCATAAAAAACACAACCATGGTCATAACTCATTCAAAGTCCCCTGAAAATTTCCATTACCTTAATTAGCTCATTTAAAGTGAAACCTTTAAGCGGAAACAGATATGGAGGTGAGAAAGAAATTCCAGGAACATATCTTCTAGTCTGCCCACATCACTTCACCTTAGCATAAGTGTTCACCGAGGCGTGCAGTGCAGTACCTCAATGATGGGGAAGTGAATCTATGATCAGCCGGCGTAAAGTATCTCTGGTAACACTCGGCTGAAGTCACACGTTCAAGCATACCTCTCTGATCAAAAGATCTTGATTTCTACCTCGGATCGCTGTATTTATGTCTGTAATCCTAAGAAGCAGCCGTTTTGTCTTTACATCAGTAAACCTCCCTTTGCTGTTGCGCAGCACTTATGGTTTTTTGCTAGGCATGGTAAACAGCAACAGTGACAGCCTTCGACTTTCAGCACATGGAGTATTTAAAGCTAAATTGATAAAGCCGTCGAAATCCTTTACCTTCGTACTTCTGTTTATTTTCAATACTACTGTTGCATGGAGTATAACTTGGACATACTACTTCATCATAACATTGTGCCTTGAACTTTGACTGTCATGCTCATATATCCATCGCAGTCCATAGCGTGAAATTTGAAGTATAAAAAAAAAACTCTGGTGCGGTTTGTTTATGGTGAGAATGCGTTCCGTTCCGACCTCGATCTGAACCAACTGCAGTCACCTGACACACTGTTTGGGTTAAACATGAGCATGTTACAGTCCTGGAGGATTATTTCTTGACCTTATACTTGATTCCTCTTAACTTAGACCTGTTGTCCTCATTCATGGACACTTTTTTGTGCCATCTAGCTGTAGTAAGAGTAGAATACACTAATCTGTGTAAAAACAAGATGGCAGCCATCTCTGCCAAGTCAGCTCAATTAGCTGTCATCTATCTGCAGCATAGTGGATGTGACTTATCTTCCACTACACAAAGCACTTTGGGTTAGAACCCTGGTATTTTTGGCATACTGCTTTTGACAAACTATCTATAGGGATATACTGAATCTTTTTCTGGCATACTAAAAATTATGGTAATATGGGTACTGTAACATACCACATATTCTCTGTACAGTCATAAAATCCCATGAAAAAGACTAAAACCAACAATGTGTATTGTACTCAATACTTGCCTTTATCTTTTGAAGACGGATCACAATACTTTCAGTTTTACAGACAACAAAATAATTTCCTACAACAGCTGGGCACTGTAGCTTTAAACAAACATTACTCAAATAAAAGTAAATAGTGCATTCACTGGGGACTATTTTCATGTGCGGATGAATACACATTTGGACATACAAGTATTTAAAACAGCATTACAGAGTTTGTGGGATCAACTCAAAATAAACGTACAATGCTACAGTTCAATGAATTGAAGAAATATGTCACAATGATGTTTTTAATTGATGTTATTAATAGTTAAAGACAAAGGAATGAGCTAGTCAGCTCTATCAGGCTGTAGCTGTACACTTGGTTTTGGTCTTCTCATGGGATTTGTTGATGATGAAAAATCACCAGATGTATCCTGTAACCACAGATTAGTTTGTTCCCTTAAAATGCAACCAGAGCAGATGAGTTGGTAACTGAAAAACAGGCCCAGTGAGTGGGATCTGATGCTCACTCTTTTACCGGGTGCCCAGACAGTCAGGTGTGTTGACGCTGCCGGTAGCAAGAGGGATCTGAGCACAAGCATGAACAGGTTATAGCTGTGATCATAATCTGTGACTTATCTAGACAGTCTGGGTTGCAAATGCAAAATGAAAACATTTTTCAGGCAGAAAGTTTTGGAGATTCTTCAAAAGAATTCAAACATCAACTATATGTTTCAGAGAGGTCAGAGACAACAAAAGCAGCTAAAGGTGTATGAAGGAATATGGTTGTATAACTTCTGATGACAGCAGTGTTTTCTCTACACACAAAAAAATAGTTTCTCTCTGACACACACACACACGTGATCTTGCATAACCCTTCCAAATATAGTTCCCGTTTTGAGTTTTTGTGTGCCAACATCAGTTACGTATGATCAGTCACCATCCTAAACATGAGCTTCATGTGGTTAAATGTCCCTAAACTCCCAAGTGGTATTCACATGCACATATAATTGATGAGTTTTGCTATAAAGAAAAAAAATGCACCTATAGTATCATCAAAAAAACATTCATGACTCAGATTTGACAGCAGATTACATGATTAAGTGTTCTGATTTCTGCTGACAGGGCTATCACGTCTTTACGCTGGATCACAGCTTGTGCCTGCTCATTTAACACATTTTCATATTCCGTCTCTGCAATCATATCAAGCGTCCAAAGACTGGAGGTAGCATTTGACAGTTTTAGCACATATTTTTGCTACACTGCTCCGATTCCAGAAAGCCTACGGGGAAAGTGTAATTGTACAGTGACAGTTAGTGTCCGCTAAAGCCGAGTTACAAAATAGAAAATGAACCAGGAAGAGGATTCAGGAACTGCGAGCACAGCTTCTCCCAGCATACTTTCGCTTTGCTGTGGGTACTTACCCAGCCACGCAAGGAGCTGGAGTGGCGTGGCGCAGTGCGGGTGTGAGCAAGAGAGTGAATACACTGTGGGGCCCACAGGCCTGACGGTAATTGCTCATAATTGAGAGTCTAATTTTAGCTGATATAACCCCAGGTGAATTCACCAGAGACACGACACAGTGGGATAAAGAGCCGATAGACTGAAATAAGGCTTTCATTTCCAGGCCTTGTGGAGCTCATACATCCAGCAGAGTGGAGGCTGAGGCACAGTATAGAAATAATTACTTAATCATTTTCAAGGCACTCATGTTCTTTTTTTTTTTTATTGCACATCTGACTGAGCCCAGTATAATGTTTAGCCAGAACCTGTGGACTGAATGATATTAAAGAACACAGTCAATCGTGTTTTATTCAGGTAAATGAAATCTTGTCCAAGTGAATAGAGCAACAAGGACAGGTCAGGAGAAATATTACTATGCAATGACCGTCATACCATCCACAAACGACTTTTGTGCTCAGCTGAAAACATGGACAAGAACTGGTAAAATGGCTGAAAATGTCATTTTTGCCTGCTCACCTTGGAAAAAGAACTGGTTTACATAAAGTGCAGACTTGCAAGGTTGGCCAGCACACACAGACTTGCCCACAAAAAAAAGCCTGTGAGTACACGCTTTATGTAATTCATCTTCTGACTCTTTTACCTACAAAGAGTTTATTTAATGAGACTAAATATGATTAATAATTTCTTCTAGGAACTGAGGACAAACTGTTCCATAAAACCGAAGAGGCCATGACAGCGTGTCATTGTCTACAATCAACACTTCACTTGATCTTCTCACACGTCCGGTCCTTATTGCGAGGTCGATGTGCGAGCACAGGCAGTCTGAGGGTGTTAACCTCGCTCCTGGGAGAGAACCGTCTGGATGGAAAAACTCATATGGTGTGATTATATCAATCAATATCACACATGCACACTCACACATACACACCTGACTGTGGGGTGTAAATGAGTTATTTGGCGTATTATTAAGGTGCTGTGGTTCCACGCAGAAGTCGCTAACATTACAGCAAATCCCATGATGTGTGACCTTTAAAGTGTCATAAGTAAGTCCTGATAATCATTCAGCTGCGTTTACAAACCCACTCCTGTTGCTGAAGAACATTCAGCACCACTTCTAATTGCTTTGTTGGATAAAAGCACTCTTTGTTGAATGACCTCAGAGTGCCTCGTGTTGTCTGTTGTTAAAGGATACGGTGTGGTAATATTCTATATTTTTGTGACTGTCAGTAAAACCCCTGAAACTGAAAGCAACATTGCTTTAGCCCGCCTCTAAATACCTTTCGATTTCCCCAGCCAGTCTGCGGCCCTCAGCCCCAGGGCTGGAAATTCCAACTAAAGATATGAATCTGCAGTTTACGGATATATTATCTCATTTTTCAAAAAGCCAAAACACTTCCTTAAACAGCTGTGTAATGCAGTTTTTAGCTATCATTTGCAAGCAGCAATTTCGGGGGCTGAAAAATGAAGCAAACGCTTAAGTGCCAAAAACTGCAGTTCCTGGAATGACCACTTGAGGCTGGCTCCAAAAGCAAGTTAATTCCCCTTCACCCTGTGATATGATTTGGATGTAGCTTAGTTATTTACATTAGTCACTAAAGGTCACTGTGACCGTGAGCATTATGTGTTGCTAGGACTCACACAAAAGGGCCTCTGGGTAACGTAGTATTTGCACCGTCAAGAAGCTGTATGCTAGTCTGTTTATCTTTGACTATGCTAGCTTTCAATAAATGGTCGAGATCAAAAGCATGAGTTTACAGCCTGGTACAGAAAATGGTTCAGGTC